AATTAAAATAATCTTCAATGCTTTTATAGGTGACGTGACTATTCATATCCTGAACAAATTAGAATTTTGGCCATCCTGATCAAGAAGTTACCGATCCTGAGCATCACCTATCAAAATTATCATCTCTATATAATGTACTCGTCTTGTAGTAATATTTAAGGCAGATATCTTCTATACCACGCAATGTTTAATAATAATTGATCGGAAAATTTGGAAATGTTAAAAAAATATTTTTATTTTTATACATTTATTAAATTTTCTTCCTCATAGTTTATCAACGAATCTATTATTATGATTTTGTTGTTTTTATTTATCTCTTTAACACGTTCTTGTCTTGATTATGTTAATGAATACGATGTAAACTGTGATTATTCATTCATGTGCTTGTTGAAATTACTTTTGAACAAATTGAGAAAGAGTAATTATCGTATCATACAACTTATTTATTTTACAATTATTTACGTACATAAATAATACATAGAACTCGTCACATGTTTACTTCCAAGTAAAAAAAGATATCAAGATTACTTGCGTGTATTCTGAATGTTATTTACATGCAAGTATTCTTGTAAGAAGGTAAATATTTTTCTTCTTTTACATATTTAATACACTTTTTCCTTAGGAATAATTTTTAAATATCGTATTAGTTTCTGGTGTATAATTAATTATACTGTTTATATTAAGTAATGAGAATTTTTGTACTATAAATTATATTAATTTATCTAGTCAGAAAGGTATAAACGTGCAACAAATAATATAGAAAACTTTGCACAAAACAAAATAAAAAAAAACGAGCAATTATTTATTGTGACGTCGTCACAACGCCGGGCTACAATTTTTTAAATCATATTTTTATCTTAAAAAATTACGTGACTTTCGATCTGGACCGGAAGTTCGCGTGTCTCCAGCTCCTAAGCTATCCGTATGTGGTCTCGATTTTAATAGTGTCTTGCCCCTGTACATTATACTTCTGATAATAATCGAGTCATGCCGGTCGTGTCTCTAACTTCGTTCTTGAGGAAATTTTGAATTGAAATCACGTGATTTCCGGTCCAGAATGGAGGTTCGTATATAACTTAATCGAGGTCATCAGTCCCTAAGTTTTCCATATCTGGTTTGGATTTTTACCAGTCTAACTCCGTTCCCCAGATTAAAGAAGAACAGAACAGACAGGCAAACGGATTACAGTGTTAATGTACAGGTTTGAACAGCTCAAAAACATTGACTAGAAAAAAGTTGACAACGGCCCTTGCTCGATCTTTTCAGCACTGGAACAGGAGGATAAGGAAACCATTAAAAAGCCCGATACTTTTCAATTATACTAGACCTAGGGTTATAAAATTTAAGTATAAATAATTTGTAAAAAAATTGTTTTTACCATACAAAAATCCAGCAACGAGTTGCATAACTTTCCCGGGCAAAAATACTTTTGTTTAAGAAACACTAAGGCACATTAGAACAAAGGTAAAATTATGTTTGGCGCCATTTTGTTATGAGATATTAGTAAACAATAATTAACAACAATAGTAAGATTTAGAATTTAATTTCAGTGCCAAAGATTAAACCTCATTTATCAAATAAACAAAAAAAAAAAAAAAAAGTTAGAGTTCAATGGGCAAAGAATCATCTCAATTGAAGTGGTGAAGATTGGAAAAATGTGATTTAGAATGATGAATCCATGTTTTGTGTTAATTTTGGAGATCAAGGACCACGTGTTATTAGAAGAAAGAGTGAGGAATTAAACAGTATATAAAGTCATGTGTATGGATGTATCTGTTCACAAGGACTACAATTCATTAATATCACGTTTGCTTGTTATTTTTGGCCCACTCTTATGTTTTTGTTGGGTTTGTGACGACTTCATTGTCTTCATGTATTCGTTTCAAACATTTTGAAAGAGCTGACTTTAATCTATTTAAATCTTTGGCAGTATCTTCTATTGATTTACTCAATTACCTCTGTTCAGAAATCTTAAATTTTTCTTTCTTTGTCAGTTGCTTAGATTTTCCTATAATGAAGTATGAATCACAATAGCATATGTTCAACACAAAATTACTAAACAAAATACGAAATCTGAAATAAATAAATCATAATACTAGAGAAAATTTCAGATATATTCAAATAATTTTATCTTTTTTTTCTTTTTCTCTTATGTGTATTAAGCTAATTTTCTGTAGTGGAATTAATCCACGAAATACAATAATTTTCACGTATAAAATGAAATTTTTCAACTAAAAAAGCCAAAACAAACTTAAATAATAAACTAAATTATTTATTTACAGAATAAAAACGATTTAAATTCAGCTTCGACTTGTTTTCTTTTTAAATGGGTAGCCCAAAAGTTAGTTAACGGAGATGCAAGAAAGTTAGCTAATTCGGTTAACTAACTTTTAGGCCACACCTTACATTCACTAAATATAAAATACACAAATTTAAATAAGGGAATAAATAATTACTATTACAAAAATAAATATTTTTATTATATGTAAATATTTAAAAATAAATTATTTAAATAAAATGCATACTTTTTTAAAAAAAACCATTCTTCTATAAATTTGTTGGAGAAGAAAGTTTAGTAAATAAATAAATAAAATAGATTCAACGTGGCATGAAATAAATTCTGGTATTTTTTATTTTTAATATTTTATTTTATTATTTGATTTCTTTAACGATGCGAAAATACGATTTTTAAATTTCTATAAAATAAAATATCAATAAAAGATATTCATATTTTCTTTTCTTTGAAACTTCTAAATTTCTTTTTCTGTAAAGAAATTTACAAGAAATTTTTGTAAAAGAAGATTCTATTGTAAAGGTTCTAAAGCATTTACATTTTTCTTCTTCTTTTTTTTTGGAAAATGTAACTTCTTCAATAGGGTTCAATTTAATTTTCTTACTTTTCCTCTGTTATAACTATATATTATTATATAGTTATAACAGAGTAATATATAATTATATATTACTGTATAACAGAGGAAAAGTATGGCCATGGCTCAAAAAATTACTCCTCCCCCCGAAATTATTACATTTTTTGGACTTAGGGTACCTCGAAACGTTGAGAAATATAAAACCAATTTGGTGGTAATTTTTTTTTTTCTGTATGTATGAATGTTAGTGTGTTGGATGGCACAATTTTGTCCATCCATTTTGAAATTTAATAACTCCTGTGCTTTTTGTCGAAAATTTCTGAAATTTTACAGGAAGATTTGTGTATTAGAGGGATTGATGCTACTAAATTTTAATGGTTAAGGGTCGACGGGTTGAGGAGATAATTGGAGTCGTGTGTAGTATCTCCGGTAGGGTTGGACTTGACGATTTTACTGGTTATTAGCATTTACAATTTTTTTTAATTAATTAAACTCATTTTATAACATTTAAATTAAAAAATCTTATAACAGATGGCGCCACACACAATTTTAAAAATTTTTTGCCGGAAAGTTACGCAACTCATTGTTGGATTCGTTTGTAAAGATAAAGATCTATATTTACTATAAGATGTATAACATTTACTATATATATATAAGGTTTAAGTTTATATATATATATATATAGACTTACAGCTTCTGTATAAAGATTACCTTTCTTTAGAAGCTGTAAATTATAAAAATAAAATGTATTTTCTTGCGGCGTAAAGAGCACACTGCTAAAAATTCACAGTTTTTATGTAAGACAAAGGTTATCTTATTATATTTTATAATAAGTTAATATATATCTTATTATAGAAGCTCTTCACCTTACTATACATATATACTTTAACAGGCTTACTTTAATATATTAATATATAAATATTATTATTTATATTTATATATGTTGAGTAAATCTACTGCATTAAAATACATTATTTTCTTGTAAGGGGGACAACTTCTGTAGTAAGTATAGATCTTATTTTTGTAATTCAAACCTATAACAATAAAGAAAATTTACATTATCTTACTGTTTCATCTAATAACGAAGGTAATGTAGGTTCACGTTACATTACCTTTATCATGAAAGATATATTAAAAAAATAAATGTAAGTATCTTAGAAAGTTTAAAATAAAACCCATTTTTATAAAAATAAAATGTAGATTTTCCTATAAAAAGGAGATAAGAAGATTCACAGGAAAATGTTTTTATTCTTATGAATTTTTAGCTTAAATGTATAAGCTAAAAATGCTACCTTACTATCCCTTCTGTAATTAATTTGGCTACACTTTTCAAATTGCATACAGTCGACCCCTCTATAACACTGTTGATTATTCCGTTTTATATGAATTCCATGTTGTACGAGTCACTTAGATTTTACAAATACGTGAGCCGTTCACAGCCCGGCACACGTATTTGTAAAATCTAAGTGACTCATACAACATGGAATTCATATAAAACGGAATAATCAACAGTGTTATAGGGGAGGTCGACTGATCCTATAAATTCCTACTGTTGTCTGGTTGTATGTTCGTTCTTTCTTAATTAATTTCGAAAACGTAATTACGTAGATGAAAATTGAGACCGGATATAGAAAGCTGTGACCTCATATGTATACGAACTTCCGATCTGTACCAGAAGTCACGTAATTTTTAAAAAATTATATTTTAAAATCGATTAAATTATTTTGAAACATGTGCAAAGAGATTTTAAACTGTTTTAAATTAATATGTAAGCCATCAANAATAAAATATCAATAAAAGATATTCATATTTTCTTTTCTTTGAAACTTCTAAATTTCTTTTTCTGTAAAGAAATTTACAAGAAATTTTTGTAAAAGAAGATTCTATTGTAAAGGTTCTAAAGCATTTACATTTTTCTTCTTTTTTTTTTTTGGAAAATGTAACTTCTTCAATAGGGTTCAATTTAATTTTCTTACTTTTCCTCTGTTATAATATTACTGTATAACAGAGGAAAAGTATGGCCATGGCTCAAAAAATTACTCCTCCCCCCGAAATTATTACATTTTTTGGACTTAGGGTACCTCGAAACGTTGAGAAATATAAAACCAATTTGGTGGTAATTTTTTTTTCTGTATGTATGAATGGAGGCAGGTTAAAACATTAAAATATCTAGGAGTGCACATAGATCCCAATCTCAGTTGGCACCACCATATTAATGAGCTGACCGCAAAAACAAAACAACGAATAAACCAGATTAATTGGATTATGGGAAAGTATTGGGGGCTAAATCCAAGAAATAGTACCCTCATTTATAAAACTGCTATAGAACCGGCCTTACTATATGCTGTGCCGGTATGGCAAGAAGCACTAGATAATATACATATAAAGAAAAGATTACTTTCGGTACAGAGGCAAGCTGCTATTAAAATCACTAAGGCGTATAGAACGGCGCCAACAGATGCTTTGCTGGCGATAGCAGGCTTGACCCCTATTCATATAACTGCTAAGTCCAAAGCCTGGCAATGGATTGTAACGAATACGAGAATATGGGGAAAAACAACTGAAGAAATAAACAAAAACATTAGAAATAAGCTTATACCGAAGAATATAAAAGAAATATCAGAAAATATATTAACAACCGAAATTGACAAGATTGACAATAGTATTAGCTTGGAAATTCACCCAGCAGAAAGCATGAAAATCAAAGTTAGCTTAGAATATGAAAATAAAAAGGACAAGGACTATCAGTGGTTAGTTTACACTGACGGGTCTAGGCAAACAGAAGGAGCCGGTGCTGGAATCTACATCACAAAAACAAATTCAAAAGTTAAAACTTATCAGGCTAACTTTAAAATTGCAAACCACTGTACCATAACACAGGCGGAATTATGGGCTATTTACAAAGCATTGATACATATAAGAACAAACCTGGAAACATACAAAGGTAGTATAAAATTTTATATTGATAGTAGAGTAGCACTGCAGACACTAAGGAAGGAAAAGAACATCCCATTACTGGCAGTAGAAATTATTAGAGAGGCCCATAAAATTGCGGATAACAATAATTTGTTCTTCAGTTGGATACCGGCGCACCAAGGAATAAAAGGAAATGAAATGGCAGACTTTTTAGCTAAAAGGGCAGTTACATCGGATTCGAAAATAACATATAAAAGGATACCAATGAAAGAGTTAAAGAAACAAATGAGGAATTGGGAAGTTACAACCTGGCAGAAGGAATGGGAAAATTCTACCACAGGTAGACATTGCTTCCAATTTTTTCCAATTATCAAGGATAGACTCCGCAACAAACATTATAAAATTAGTCATGAAACTACCCAGATTCTGACTAATCATGGTAGCTTTCAAGCTTATTTATATAGATTCAAAATATCAAGGAGAAAAAATTGTGATTGTGACGAGGAAAGCGAAGGAGATGCGAATCATCTACTTTTTGACTGTAAAAAATACGAGCAAAGCAGACAACAATTTTTTAGACAATGCATGTTACATGGTATAAGGTGGAGAACAGATCAACATAGAATAATTAACAATAAAGAAGTATGGGAAAGCCTGGAACAGTTTATAACTAAAACAGGAACCCTATTACCAGACTATAGCAAAACCAAAGCACAAAATACAGTCCAAAGTCAACAAAGCAGCGGTGCAGTAGCAGAAAGTGATCTAAGTGACAACCAAGACAACGACAGAGAAATTAACAGCGCCAGTGAAGATACTGAAGACAGCGAGTGACCGAGAGGATTCCAAAAGATTCACCTGTTCAAAAGTTGTTCATAATATGGTGTGCTTATAATTGACGCAAAAGCTCTTTGTGTGATTATCCATGGGGTCCTTCCAGGCAGCGACAAGGGAACAGCATGTACATTCATCTGTTTAATAATTGTTAGAATAAGATAATTAATTATAAGGTAATATGGATGATTATGGCTGCCTTAAAAAGACTAATAATGGACTTTGTAATGGTGTTATTGTAACAATAATACCAACTTATGTATATTTAANATTCCGTTTTATATGAATTCCATGTTGTACGAGTCACTTAGATTTTACAAATACGTGAGCCGTTCACAGCCCGGCACACGTATTTGTAAAATCTAAGTGACTCATACAACATGGAATTCATATAAAACGGAATAATCAACAGTGTTATAGGGGAGGTCGACTGATCCTATAAATTCCTACTGTTGTCTGGTTGTATGTTCGTTCTTTCTTAATTAATTTCGAAAACGTAATTACGTAGATGAAAATTGAGACCGGATATAGAAAGCTGTGACCTCATATGTATACGAACTTCCGATCTGTACCAGAAGTCACGTAATTTTTAAAAAATTATTATAGTTATATTATAATTAATAATACATATAATTCAATTGTACTACTAGAGCGACGAGCCTGCTGTTTTTCGGTAAAGTTGCCTTTTTTTTGGTGAGATAATTCTTCTACAATTAATTCCTATACTTTAATTTTGTAAGGTATAGTTTCTATAGTTATATATCGATATATTTTTTTTATATTAATACTTTACTATTTCGTAAGAAAATGTAAATTCCTCACAACTACTCTTCCACTAAATTACTTACATTTTCTTGTTTATAAAGTTCTAAAATAAAATATATAAACTTTCGTTTCCTATGTAGATTTAAAGTACAGTATATACTACATTTATTTTACTTTGTAAAGTTTTGAAAATTCAGAAAGGAAAAATAAATATTTATATCTTCATACCTTATAAATTCTATGTAGCTGAATCTTCACTTTTCCGGCTGTTATATATAACAGAGGGAAAGTATGGCGATCGTTCACAGAATTATCCCAAAATGTTTACATTTTTTTGGTCTCGGGGGACATTAAAATATTGAGAAAAGCATAAAAATTAGGGAAAATGTACTGTGTGTATGATGTCAGTGTGTGTAGGGGTACGATTTTCTTCACCTAATTTGAAACTTAATAACTACTGTGGCTTTTGTCGAAAATTTCTGAAATTTGGCATGGAGGTTTGTGTGTTAGAGGGATAGATGATAGTAAATTTTGGTATTTAAAGGTCGAGGGAGTGAGGAGATAGATGAGGTCACGTGTCGTATGTTGAGTCGATATACATTTAACCGTGTAAGAACATGAAATTCAAAAATTAATCTCCATAAATTGATTGCTTTCTATATTCATTACTGTGTTACATTCATTATATTAATATTTCATTAGAAGATGCTTCGCTGCTGATGAATTCTACGGCTTTACATGAATGACTATGACCAACTAATCAAGAATAATCTTGTGAGCTGATTAAATGAAATCCTAGATTAGAGAGTAAAGTAAGATAAATTAATTATATCCATATATTTCTAATTAATTAAACAATAGAACACATTAGAACATTTAAAAGTAAAAATAAATTAATTTTCATTTATATTTTTGGTTTAAAACAGTTGGTATTCTTAATGTAAATATTGTTTTACTTTCGTAGCTATTATACATAACAGAGGGAAAGTATGGCGATCGCAAGACATAATCCCAAAGATTTTTACATTTTTGAACTCAAGGGACTTTAAAATGTCGAGAAATAAAAAAAATAATTGGGGGTTTTCTATATGTATGGATGTTAGTGTGTGGGGGCACACTTTTATTCATCCACTTCGAAGCTTAATAAGGTCTATGCCTTTTTTGAAAAATTTCTGAAATTTTGCACGTAGGTTTGTATATTAAGGTGAAATGTTTGTAGAAATTTTCAAGACAATCGAACTATTGGTTAGGGTAATATTGTCTCCATCCCACCCCTTTAATATTTCCCGAACCAATCTGAAGACTCGAACACAATGTTGGGAAAGTCTAGCAACGACGTGGTTTGGGTTATTGAAATTGACCTTATACACACTTAATTTCCTTAATTATTGCTTAATTACATACTTAATTTGTATTCGTTTTTGTAATTTAAAATTATCTTAAGCGTGCAGATATGTAAATATATGCTTACAAGTCAAATAACAATAGTTTAGACCAGTGTTTCTCAACGGGGGCGATATCGCCCCATGTGGGCGTTTTTCCATGTTGAGGGGGCGATTAGTAACAATTTATATTAATATTTTGGGGGCGAAAAACAATTTTCTGGGTGATATAGTAAAAGATTATATTAAGAAAAATTAGATATTTTATTCGTTATATCGTACAATAATTAAACAAACAACATTACTAGTCAGTAGTCTATTCAATGCAGTACGAATTTGGCATTAGCCTTGTCCCTCTGCATCGGAATTTTGTAGTGAAGGGGGTGATACTACGTTGAAGGGGGCGACGATTCGTTAGAGGTTGAGAAACACTGATTTAGACAAACGTTTTTTATAGTTCTCTATAAGTTTTATAATTTTTTATAAGCTGTATAATGCACACAGAATTATGAAATATAATAATTATTAGCAAATTAAAATCTGCATTTATTTAAAATGATATGTTGAGCTCTAATGAGTATTGTAAATTTAATTAAAAGTACGTGTTTAACTCACAAACTAATGTGATTATACTACATATATCGTAAAGTTAAGTAGTGTATGTTTTATTTCATAAAATGGATAATACGTGACTGTATATTTGTGACTGGGTGCGTGTTTGTAATATTCACGCAAACACAAAACACGTGCGTAAGGTAAAAATACACCTATAAAATACAAAACAGCACACTGAAACAACACAAAAACATAAAAACACACAATACAATACAAACACACATGCACAGGCGAACGTGTACTGGTATATAAAGTGATAATTAAAAAAAAACTAAAAATTTCTGAATGATTGTTGATCAAAAACATAAAAATATATAGAAAAATATACGCATTTCTTTACAGACCAACTTAATAAATCATTACTATCAAAGAAATATTCAAAATCTAAATCATATACACCACGTATTCAACAAAGTATAAAATAACACAATGTTAAATTCAATCCATGAAAATTGCATAAATTCGATTGTGTACAAGTAATTTACTAAGTTAAAAAAAAAATAAAACTTTGCCATTCACTCGAAAGAAAACTTAAAAAGCTCCTCCAGTTCTCTAAGGATTGTAATTCTTTTGTATTTAATATAACATTTTCTGTGATAGTAAAGCAAATAATTACTCTCTGTTTGTTCCATTTTATATTTATAGATGAATATTTGAAAGCAAATTACGGATACCATTCAGAAAACTTTTATCCTTTTAACAATTTCTTTTTCTGATGGACTACTGAGTATATTTTCATGTAACAAAAATATGCATAGAAAATCATCCAAGTGAAGCTAATGATAAAGTAAATACTTTGATTCATTTCCTTTTTTTTTACAAGAATAAATTTTTATATATACAGTATATACACATATAAACATTTTTAAATAAAACGTCGTAACAGATGGCGCCACTGAAATTTTTAATGTTGCCAGGAAAGTTAGCAACTCTGCTGGATGTTTTTAAAATATTGCTTCTATTAGCGCTTCTAACTTAATTTATAAAAGATACTGAAGAAGATATCGCTTTCACGCTATTCATATCGAAACAATATAAACTAATTTCTTATTTAAAGCTTAAAAATACTTACTAGATTACCACCGAACGATGACAGGATATAAATTAAACCAATTCTAACGCAACCAATCATTTCTTCCAGTGGCCTTCCGATAATCCATTGCAAAATTGAAACCAGAAAATAATGTATAAATCCCGCGTGATAGAAAACCGGTAGTATAAATCTCCAACTTTGTCTAATGCCGGTTGGTATGAAAGAGATTCCCTTTTCAGGATAAGTAATTCCGAAAGAACCACAAAATGATGCAAAACAGTTCACCTAATAAGCAAAATACAATTATTATTATTTAGAATTATGCTTCGAAAGCTTTTAGAATATACATATATATGTACAGTACCTCCATGCAGTGATCTTTATGTGGATGCCATCTTCCATGCAAGAATTGGCATTCGATTTCATTAGTAAGAAAGCATTTACCTAGTAAACCGTAGCAGCATGGTTTTAGCACGTGCTTCATACGGGAGTATATAACAGAAGTACATCTTGTTACATCCCATGTTGCACCGTCTGTAATATAATCAACAAAATGTTCGTATTATAGTTACAGAACACTTCCTTCATATTTTATGTACTAACTTAAAATGAGACATAAAAGACGAACGAAATGCATACTAATAGAGACAGCTTCTTCACACTATACATACTGAAAGGGATACATGATGCATACTGGAGACACCCCCTTTCACATGATGAACACTGAAACGACACGCATTCTGAAGGAGACAGCTTTTTCATACTATGCCTTATGAAGGGGACACTCCTTCACATGAAGCATACTGAAACAACACGAACAATGGAGATATCCCCAATCACATAACGCATATTGAAAACATCACCCTTCACATGACACATACTAGAGACAACCCCTTCACAGGATGCATACTAAAACGACGCGCACACTGAAGGAGAAATCCCCTCTCACACTATGTATATTAAAACGCCACGCAATATTGATTAATAAATAAAAATTAAATTCTTCCAGACGAACCGTCGAATAATATAAATAATTTTTTTTATGTATTATAAGATTTAAAATAAAAAAAGTAAAAAAAAACAGAATTTTTAATAAATTAATTCATTCAAAGAAATTTTTTATGTAAATGTCAAAATCTTAAAAAAAACACAACGAAAAAAGATCTGCAATTTAATTTAAAGCTAAAAATCAATTTGATAAGCGTATTTCTTAGAAGGAATCGCTAGAATAATTCAAGAATTTTTATTGTTCTTTCATAAAAAAAAACAGATCTCAATAAAGTTAGAATTTCAATAATATTTTTCGAGTTAATTTTTTACCCAAACGGCTAAATATACACACGCAGACAGACCCTTTTCGATATTTTAAGGAAGTAAAACAATTTTCGAATATTGTTAGTTGTTTTTCTTGTGTAAAAATACAATTTATTAAATTGTACATAATGATAAACCTTACCGTCACTTAAATATTTACACTCGTTCTCGGTTGTTGTCGCTGCTATTTTCCTTAAATCGTTGTAGCAACATCCAAGAGGATCAGATACAGAAAATCCTTGTTTCAATAGATCGTGGATGATAGTAGCATCCTTTCTCATGCAAGGTGTATACACAGCGCCGTGTTCTAGTGATAAAATGTATTTAAAACATTAATGAAAAGTAAATTTTATATAAATTTCATTATATAAAAGTTTTAAGCATTTGAAAAAATTCTAGACCTATAAATTCCAACTGCCTTTAAGTGGAGTAAATGTATGCCAATTATAATGAGGGAAGGGAAAAAAATAATTTTTTTTTTTCAAAATCTCATGTTGTTTTTAATAAAGACCTGTGCTTGAACACTTCATTTTTATTTAGACTTAAGCACAGATCATTCCTATGTTTAAATTCAATGAAGTTCATCTCTGTTAAGAGAAAGAGCTGTACTTAAACTTCGATAAAACTCCTATCTAAATATATTTAAATGCAACGAACAGACAAACGAATGGTTTATCACATTATATATAAGAACATCCTGAAAACCAGTTATAATCAAATAAAAATTGTATAAAATCTAGCAAAATATCTATCGAGACCATTCCTGTAATTTGAATTAATTTATGTGCAGAATTATTCTAAATTTCAAGTAAATTTAGGGGGAGGAAGGAAATAATTCTTAGAATGAATAGTAAATAAATGTATAGCTTCAAGTATAAAATAAAATAATACTTTTGGAGACTTATTGTTAGCACTTTTCAATTATAATTACTTTACATTGCAGTAAATTAATTTCATAAAAGGGAATTATGTAATGGTTTGTTACTAATTAAATATTTTAAATTCAGATATTTCTATACATATAATGCTTTTTTGTTAAAATTGTGAATGAATTTTCTACTTTTAAAATGTAATTGTCTCCTGTTTTACTTGTAACGTTAATTAATTATTTTCGACGAAAGATTCCTGATTACCTTTTCGAAATACACAAAAAGAGGATTAATAAGTTAATCTTTTGTAATATTTTTACTAAATTTCTCGATAGTTCAAGCTAAATTAACTGGTCATTTTTAATGGAGATTAACTTCTAAATTTATTTTCATAAAAAAAAACTATTCATTACAGTGGTTATTTATTATTAAATATTGAAATTTTAATTATATTAAAGGAGTTTTTAAGTCGCAAACAAGACTTCAGATGCATTGTCTTATTAATTAATACAATTTTAGTAGTAAATAATTTATGAGAAGCCTGTAACAAATTATTCTTAAAGGCTATATATATTACAATGATGATATGAAAGATATTTCATGTGCAGTTATCCAAATATGTATAAAATACTCTTTGGGTTATATTTATGTAATAGTTGACGTTTTTTGCATTGTCTTGACATCAATAATTATGCAAGTTTATATCAACATGGGTTTAAAATTCTCTCTGTATTTTCTTTCTATCTTCAGAATAGTTGAAGGTAGTTTCAACCGTAACTTGATATGCTTAATAAATACTACTTTACTAACAGTGCTTGAAATGCTGCCCTTCAAAGATACTAACTTGCTACCACCAATGCTTCAGATGCTATCATTCAAGGAAGCTAACTTGCTCCCATGCTTTAGATGCTAGCAATCAAGGATGCTAATTTGCTTCTAATGCTTAAAATGTGAACTGTATGATTAGGTTGCATATAATTTACACCCATTCATCCAATCACACTCCTACTCACACACCTCAAAATAGAATCAGATTGTTTTACAGTACAAGATATAATAATACAGTCGACCCCCCTATAACACAGTGCCGTTCACAGCCCGGCACACGTATTTGTAAAATCTAAGTGACTCGTACAACTTGGAATTCATATAAAACGGAATTATCAACAGTGTTATAGGGGATCGACTATAATAATACATGTAGTAATTCATAAGTGTGGCAAAAATTGATTAATTTTATTTATTTACTTGCATAAATGTTTGAACTTATTTTAAATACTTACTTATTAAACTTCTTTTTGAAGGTCCAATCCACATATTAGGAGTGTGCCAATAATCTATGGGTTGATGACCGCTAAAAGTATCCACATCAAGCAAAAACTCAACAACTGGATGAAGTCCAACAGGCGCTATACCTGAAAGAAATGTAAATTTTCTTCCATCAAAGTTAAACTTTTCGTATAACAATTAAAATAATACGCATAAATAAAGTGTTACATACCACCAGATGACGAAATTATAATCATTATAAGGAACTGTAACATAGTCATGCTGGTAATAAAATAAGGAAAAGTAACAGCTAGTGGTTTCCTACGTTGAGCAGCAGCAACATCAAGTCTACAGCAGAAAAATTGATTAGTGCTTAATCAACTGTTATAAAAATTCTTTTATTAATTTCCCATATAACAGAGGGAAAGTATAGCGATCGATCAAGAAATGGGCCTACAAGATTTTTACATTTTTGGATTCAGAGAACCTCGAAACGTCGAAAATGTTGGGGGGTTTCTGTATGTATGAATGTTAGTGTGTGAGGGGGCACGCTTAATAAGTTCTGTGCTTTTAGTCGAAAATTTCTGAATTTTGCAGATTGGTTTGTGTTTTATAGGGATTTATGCTGTTAAATTTTGATGGTTAAAGATCGCTAGGATGGGGAGATAAAGGGGGTCGTTTGTCATATCTCGAGTGGGGTCGGACTCAATGACGACTTTATTCGTTATTAGTATTTACAATTTTATATAAAACTCATCCCTACCCTGAAAATTAAGCTATTTGCTATTTTATATCAATTAAAAAACATAAAAACGATATTAAAAATTAAAATATCGTAACAGATGGCGCTATACGCAATTTTAAATGTTTCCGGGAAAGTTAAGCAACTCGTTGCTGAATTTTTTAATGTATTTTTTTCACCTCCGAGATGATTGAAAGATACATCAAGATAGTATTTATGAAAGCTTGATGGAAAAGTCGACGTAGAGAAAAAATTAGTTGACTACGCGAAGAAAAGTTAATCGAGTATTTTCAACACGTCGATAAAAATGATGGAATATGTGGTTAACTTCTGACATATACTTTACCACAAACTTTAGGGGGTGACAAATGTATTAAACTAGAAACCTTTCTCTTAAAGGAGATTACCTGATAAATAATTGCTAAGTGTCCTGTCAAACTCAAACACTACGTAAATGTTTCTAAGTTATTTTAAGTGCTGCAACTTTTTTTATATAAAAAAAAGCTCCCCTACATAATAAAGTAGCTAACGTGCTTCATCTTCTATTGTAATACTGAAAGTTTTATAGCTAATCTCTACTATAATATATAAGAATATATGAATATAATTTCTCTTATTTATAAGGAAATTACTCTATAGAAATAACAAAATTAATAATTCAAATAACTAACTCCGTTATTTTAATTTATGAAATCATTTTCCTTGCTTATAAATCCGGTTTTACGACGTATAAATTTAACAGGAGATT